TGTAAAACGAAGCAGTAACAAGAACATGGACATGAAGAGGTTTGTCTCTGTGACCAGGATGCTTGATTCTAGAGTGATGTATCAAGCTGTTGTAAGAAAAATGTGTCACGGTGAAACCTCTGCTCCAATGAAGGCTATTCATTGCTGGCATTTGAAAAAACACAGATGATTAGGAATGGTTATAAAGTAACTGAAGCTGAGTACATCATAGTGCCTGTTGCCTCTTAGGTTGTTATAAATAATTTCTTTTGATGGGATAATTTGGCTTCTTTCAGGTGAATTATGTGAGGCATTTGTTCACATTCAGTATATTACTTACACTAGATCGAGGTCAGCAGGCGGCTAGCTTGGTGAAGCAGGGAGGAGTACTTTTATAGAGGCTGTATTGTACTGGGCTCGATTAACAGCAAAACCCAGTTAAAATGAATTAAAGTTTGCATTATAATTTAGAATATTTCCCAAAAGCTCAAAAATCAAAAAAAAAATTAATTTGCTGCACAACAAATAATAATAATGTTCCTGCGACTGAAACTTTACAGTGTTGAAGAAACGCTTGTAGAGTTTCAGGAGAATAACTCACGGCAAGAAACTCAATGTGAATTGGAACAAAGTGCTGTACTAACTTAAATTATTTATGGATTTCAAGACTTTCAAACAGGTTAGAAAGGACCACAATTTATTAAACGATATCAGATATATGTATTTCATCTTATAGTGACCATCTTGTGAAGGTGAATGTGTTTTGTTATAACCAATAATGAATCAGATATGCTGAATATTATTATAGCGTACAGATAATTTCTTCTGAAATAGTCTGGTCAGGGTTGCTTTGACGTGCTGTTTCCTAAACCTTGCTTCTCTCACGAATCTCTGTGAATGCTGGTTCAGCCTTCACCCCACCTGGAGATGGTTTTATTTTCTGGTCAGTGGTGCAGAAAAGGTGTTTGGCGGAGAGATGGGATGTTGGGCGAGTCCTGCTGTTTGCTAGGCGACAGCTGAATATCAGAGCTCTGTGGTCTTTTCTGAACGTGTGAGGTATTTTTAAGTTCCAAAAATGTCGGTGAAAAACAGCAGGTCCTTTTTTCCCCACTCAAAATGACAAAAGCAGTCAGCACATTGAAGAAAGGATCCCGGTAGATGTTTGAGCTTTCTCACTTCCAGAGCCACAGCACAGCACGCTGGTGCTGCAGCTTGGTCTAAACGAAGCACACGCAGATCAGCGTAACGCCCATATCAGCGATGAAGAATGAAGGCTGCGTTTGGCTGGGCGTGTGCATTTTGCTAGTCTTTTGCCACAGGTGCAATATTTATGTGAGTGTGTCTGCACGCATGTACATTGGTTGCTTTCAGTGTGTATTCTTTACAAGCCTGGGAGGATATTTTGGAAGTGTGTGCCGTGTGGATGATGAAATGAGAAGGCTTTTTTTTTTCGGAGGGCACATCAGTCCCCTGCCTTCAGCCCAGGACTGTTTTCATCTGCTTTCTTTCATGTGTTTTTTTTTTTCTTTTTTTCATGCTTTTACTCTGTTATTTTGGTTTGTTTGTGTTACAGTAAAGTGTTATCAGCTTTTTATGATATAAAGTGCTTGTGCCAGAGGTGGCAGGACTGAACGGATGGACTTTGCAGCACTGAAAACTGATTTTGTGGAGGTTTGACTTTTCATCAGCTCCACTTTACTTTGCTCATCCACCATTGGCTGCCTTGACATTTGTCTCGCCCCTATTGGTCAGACCAAGATAGAAAAAGACCGCTCAGTCGTCTTGGTGAACAGTCCTCAGGTTTTAATTTATTTTGAATATTTATTTATTTATTGTAGTCGACATTTTTACTGTGCTTTTTTTTTTTTTTTCTTTTCCTATTGTACAAATCATGCACTTGTGCAAGTGCTGTCTGCAGTTGTTTAAAGAGACGATGCTTCATGTATAAACATGACTGCTTTTAAATGGATAGTACACCCAATCTGCATTCTGCATGTGTTTTTGTGTAACGACCAACATGGTGGAAATGACTTTTGCTTTTTCTGCTGTTTTTCTTCTGCAGATTTACATTTTTTGCTGTTTTACGTTGTCCATTTTTTCCTTCTACTTAATGTCATTACCACTTTTACAGAGTGGGATACATGTTTGCTTTGAAATTCATATGATACAGGACTGTATTTTGTGTGAACTGTCCCACCCAACACTTCGCCTTTTTGATAAGATGGTGAAGATTTTGTCAGATTAACGTTTTGTTTTTTTTCTTGCAGTAAACAACAGAGATGTTGTATCATACTTGTGTCTCATCTAGTAATGATGTTCATGTCTAGTTCAGCCTGTTCTAATACTCAAAGGTCAAAGGTTACCTTTGACCACACATATGTGCGTGACCGTGCTAACATGACCCCCTCCCTCCAGAAAAAGAAGAAAAAGCAGCATGTACAGTACAAAGGTGTCGTTCTTCTGTTCTTCTTTGTGTGTTTCTAAACTTTAAAATCATGATGAGATTCACATATTTAAAATGAGTTCACAGTATTACACAACTGCAACTAACAAGCAGAGTAGCTGGCCTTTTTTTCTTTGCATGACAGTCAATAGGACACTTGTTTTTACTTGTTTTTTGGTGTTTTTCTTTTTATTTGGGTTCATTTTCTACTGAATGCTGGTATACTCGACCTTTCTCTCTCTATTTTCTCAGCTTTTTAAGTGCATATAACTATTTTTGTCTCCAGATGATATAATGAAGATGATTGTAATGATAAGGAATATTATATATAGATTATAGAACTGAGGATGACTATGAGGAAGTTGACAGTTATGATGATGATGATGATGTGATGATGATTATTTGGCATGCTTCTCTATGGGGCTCTGTGTTGCCAGTGCAGACTGGCTGCCTTTTGTACATAGCTGAGTGACCGTCAGCACCAAGAGTCACTGCTGCTTCAAAGAGTAAAGATGCTCCAGCAGGGGGCGCTGTCACACAAAATAAAGCACAAACACACACTGAGGCAGCTTGATGCTTCTAATGTAGCTGCAGAATAACTTTAGATCAAACAGACAATCCAGTCAGAGACATCAGCAGTTCATCAGTGTAGAAGAAGAACCAGCTTCCATTCAGATTATTGATCAGAGCTGCACAGTTAGGACTGAAATGAAACTGATGCCTCTAATAAATCATCATCTGTATGAATTATCAAAGGTGAAATAAGGAACAGTGATTCATTGTGCAGCCCTGCATATAAACTACATGAAGTGTCCTCCTCTTGAGGCCACTGTGAGCTCTGCTGCCTTCCTGTTATTTAGTCAGATGAAGCATCACTGAGATGAGCTGGAGCCACTCTGAACTTCTGCCATCTTCTTTTTACAGTCGCTGACTGAGCTGCACTGACAACACTGAGCCGGCTTCTCTTCATAGGGTGTCTTTCATTCTTTCCCCACTCTCTCGGTTTCCAACCTTGTTCCATCATTTCTCTGCAGTTGGCTCTTTCTACTTTCCCTTTGTCTCTTTCTGTCACTTTGGTTTTCTTCTGTATAATAATATTAATCCTCTAGTTCTCGGATTCTTCTGATTATTGCTCTGTTCTCTTACGTGCTTCACGTGTTTCTCTAACTTCAATAAAATGTGTTAAGGTGTTATCAATAAAATGACAGTTTAAATAGAAAGTTCAGCGTCCTTCTGTGTTTACAGACACATCAGACAGGCTTTGATGTATTTTACTGACAGAAAAAAAAGCAGGAGATTAATGAACTTGTTTTTCTGATATTTTCACAATATTTGTTCATCAGGAGAAAAACTTGAACTCCACAGTTAATAAGACTAATTAGTATCAAATACAAATACAGAGGAAATGTTCTCAGCTTCAGTATTTGTATCAAGACTTGCCTGATGAGGTTTTCAAATGTTCAGTGTTTTCATTATAACATCTTCAGTGAGTTTTGTAAATCCTCCATGCAACAATAATAATTAAAAAGACTCAAATTGCTTTCAAATACAGCAGGTGTCCAAAAAAGGAGAAAAAAAACGTTATTTTTAGTGTTTCAGCCACTGAAACAACCAAAAGATGAACTAGTCAAATTGTTATTTAAATGGTTTTTGATCACTTTTAGTCGCTCCAAATCACAGTGACTAACAGAAAAGTTTCAGATCAGGCTTCTCAGATTTCTGCCTGCAGGCCTGTAGTGACGGCTCTTGACCTTAAATGACAAGAAATGAACACATGACTGTTCTGTGTTTCAGTCATCAGCAGTTCATGTTGTACATTTCAGTTACTCCAAGAGATATTTTAGTGTTTTCTCACATAGAAAGAAATTGATGGGATTGATTAAAGATTGAAAGATGAAACAAATACATTCACAATAATTTACACAAAAATGTAAAATGAACCAAAGGAAAGAAATTCACTGAGATCTCACTGAACTACAATGAAAAGTTCTAAAAGTCTAAAACAGGTTATTATCAGTTGTTTTGGCATCTCCTGCTTTTCCAATATTACACAAATCTCAGTGAAAGTGTCTCTGTGGGTGCAGATGTGAGTCATGTCTTCAGGGTCATAGAAGGACACCTCCCCCCTGTCATAGTCCAGCTGGACTCTGATCCTCTGGAGACTCTTCTTCACTGTCACAGTCTGACCAACAACATCAGGGCTGCACAGTGGGGACTAAAATGGCACTGATGCCTCTAATAAATCATCATTCTGTTTGAATTATCAACGATTAAATAATAAACACAGGTTTTTTGTGCAGCCCTACACACAAACTACATGAAGTTTCCTCCTCTTACTTTTCCTTTTGTCTCTTATTGACACTTTAGATTTCTTCTGTATAATAATATTAATCCTTAAATTCTCTGATTCTTCAGATTATTGCTTTATTCTCTTAGGTGATGCACGTGTTTCTCTAACTTCAACAAGATGTGTTAATGTGTTACCAATAAAAGGACAGTTTGAATACAGTAAGAATTAAACAATAAAAATTAAGAGATCAAATTTTCTTCTATGTTTATACACAAATCAAAACGCAGCCAGACTTTGATATTTTTATTGACAGAAAATAATCCAGGAAATCAGTGAACTCATGTTTCCGACATTTTCATCATATCTGCTCTGCAGGTGAAAAACAGGAAATCCACAGTTAACAAGACCAAATCCTAAATGTGCTGATGTGATCTGGAATATGAAGTGAGAGTTCACAGAAACACACTGGAACAAACAGCAGCTCCAACTGTACAAATGTTCAACAATTATGAAATAAATGCTTTGGGTCAGTCAGTAGCAAAGAAAACAGTGTCTGTATCTGACAAAGCAATTTACACAGAACTTAGGAACAATAATGAACTTTAGTTTGTATGAATACAACTGAATAAATGTCAGACAGTCAACATTATTCTGCAATGACACATTTTAAAGAAAAACATGGCTGAATTATTATGACAACCTACACAGTTTGGTTTATTTTGCAACATAATGGAGAACATGCTATAAGAAACACATTTAAATGAAGCAAATCACTTAAATGAATCACTGACAGTTAAGTTTTAAAAGATGACATTAGGATTATTTAAGTCAAGTCTATTTATCATTTTGAAACCATTAAAACACAAATTGTCACGATGCTGTTATTAGCTGATATGGATCTAAATAACTGATGAAGGAAAGGAAAGTGACATTTATCAGTGCTTGTTCATCAATGTCTGACACATGGAAGTTTGTTCAACTTCGCACTGTTTAAATGTGTAAAAACTGTTTCATGAACACCCAATGACTTGAAACTGCTATATATTTGTCAAAAAAGGAAAAAATCAACCAAAAAAAGAACAAATAAATATAAAGTTTTAAGGACCTTCAAACTGAATTTGCAAGAAAACAAAGCAAAAATTACTTTTATCCTTTAATTTTACTGTGTTTTGAAAATGATTTTTATCACATTGTATAAAATGCTTCAGATACAAATCTTTCTTTCTGCAATTTCTTACCTAAAAAATAAAAACAGGAGTTGCCTAAATTGAAAAACAAACAACCACAAAACAAGCTGTAACTAAAAGGATGAGACAAGAGAAAAAAAGTTCACAGAGACGTCGTTGCAGTTTTCAGAGAAATCTCAGTCTGACAGATTTTGATATCAGAGGTTTTGGTGTCTTCAATGTTAAAAAATGGGAAGAGTTTCTCAGTGAAAGTGTCTCTGTAAGTGTAGATGTGAGTCATGTCTTCAGGGTGATAGAAGGACACCTCCCCCCTGTCATAGTCCAGCTGGACTCTGATCCTCTGGAGACTCTTCTTCACTGTCACAGTCTGACCAGCACCATTGGTGTACTCCCCACTGTGATGTGTTAAACACCAGACTCCATATTCTGGTGAAACAAATGGCTCATTTTTGTCAACTGACTCTTTAGCTAAACCCACAATCCAGTCAGGATGGTCTCCCACCTCCACGTCCCAGCTGTGTTTCCCTGAGCTGAAGCCCTCAGAGCCAAAAACAGTGGCATACTTAGTGTTTCTCTCTGGATTATCAGGAAGCTGCTGCTCTGTGTCTCCACGTCTCACACTGGTCAGATCATCAGACAGATAGAGACAGCAGTCTGCAGTGTTTGGGTCCAGAATGACAGGACTGAAGTGGACCTTCTCCTTCATCTTCTCCCACACTCTGAAGGACAGGTTGCCCAGGTGTTTGGCCACATCTATCAGTGCTCCTGAGACCAGCTGTGGATCTGACACTGAGCTCTGGGCTCTGGCTCTGCTCTGAGTGTCTTTATAACTGCTGAGGAATGGCACGCTGTGTTTCTGCAGCTCTTCTTCAACAGCAGAGATGCTGTCTGACAGAGAGGAGATCTGCTCCTCAATCATCTTCATCTCTCTGCTGATAGTCCTCCCCTTCTGCTCCTCTTCCTCCCTCAGAGCTGCCAGTCTGGACTCCTCTTCCTCTTTCAGGAACTGCTGGAGCTTGTTGAACTCTGCTCTGATCTGCCTCTCTGTGGACAACAGCTGCTTCGTGGAGTGTTGAATCACTTTATTGTATGTTTCCTCCACTTGTTTGTATTTGTTCCTCTTGTCCTGCAGAGACTTTAAGTCAGATTTCAGCTGCTCCTTCAGGTCACTGACTGCTTCTTCTACAGGAACCACTTTGTGACTCTGGTGGAGAGAAAACTCACACACAGGACACACAACTCTCTGCTCGTCCACACAGAACAGTTTAGGCTCTTCCTCATGCTTACTGCACACCACTATTAATTTCTTCTCTCCTTTTTCTGTCTCAGATGATCCAGATTTCTGTCTCCCAGCAAATGAGTCAGCAAGTTCTTTCAGAGCAAAGTTCACATAAGGATATTCCTTTGAAGATTTTCTTTTACAAATGGGACAGTTTTTGTTTTGAGTTTGTTCCCAGAATTTCTGCAGGCAGCTTGAACAGAAGCTGTGGCTGCAGCTCAGAGACACAGGATCTCTGAAAGTCTCTGAACACACATGGCAGCTCAGGAAATTTTCCAAAAGTCTGACTTTCTCAGCCATTTGATCTTTAAGTATTATTAACTCACCAAATTAATGTTTCTTGAACTTTCTGATTAAAATCCTCCAAACGTGTGTTCTTAGCAGAGATCTGACTCCCTGTAATGGCGTCTCAGCTCTGTTTAAAAGTGTCGAAATTTACTTTCATTTTCACGAATCAAAGTGACGTGGTAAACTGAAATGTGCATATAATATTTGTATTCGCTAGAGGGCGCTGTCACAGTAATTCAGATAGTTTCCAGGTTGTGCTTCACAAAAAACAAAAGAGTGAAAATTGAAAAATCGTTGACTTCTCAAAGTGTTTTTTTTAAACTAAACAGATATTTCAATAAGGAGAAGGAACTGAAGATGATTTATTATATAAGAATTCAACTATGCTATGTTGTGATTAGACTACGACAGCCCATCAGGATGAAAGCAGGATGAAATCCCAGCTGTGACAGGAACCAGCCGGTGTCTTTTGTCCTCTGTGTGCCGGTATGATGAAATGAGTCATTCTAGATAAGTTGATAAAAATGTACATGATTGAAACTAATGAGTCTAATGTGTTGTTAGAGTGAGAAGTCACTAACTTTGAAGCAGAGCTGAGTTCAGACATTCAGCATTAACCAAACTGCTCTGGTGAGTTCGTATTGATGCACATTCATTTTAGTGCTGTGCCTTGTTATACTTCAGCAAAGTGTTAGAACAACTGCTGTGATGTTTATAGTCAAAGGAAGAAGCTATGGTACAGACCCTTAGTACCATCATCACTTTTCTGCCCCTTATCTGGTTACATAAACAAATTTTAAAAAATATGAATAAAGTATAAAAAGTGTCACAAAGACTATGGCTCAGGGCAGACTGACTAAACAAATACTTTGTTTGCTTCTCCAACATGTCAGCAGGTCTGTCCTCAGGACTAAGAAACAACATTCAGTCTGCAAAGAGGATAAAAAAAAGTTTTATTCGTTTTTAATTAATAATCTACCTTCCTGCTCTCTTAATAATCTTACTGACTTTAAATTTCCAAACGCATAACAAATGATGTATTTAGAGCCAAAGTTTATGGAAATACTAAAGAAAAAAATGTTTTATTTGTGTATTTGCAGTTTTTAGAGATGAACTGACAAAAGTGTTTTTGCTTTACTTATTGAGTAACGGCACAACTAACATGTAATGAGTCATATATAATAAAAATGTGAGAAAGTGGAAATAAAATGTTGGAAAAACATTTTTACCAGAGAAGAAAATATGAACTTTGTCTTGTGAGTAAATATAATATACAAATAAATACCAATATTATAAAGTTGGACCTTCATCAAACATCTCTGCAGCTTTAAATTTACTGTTAAGCAACATAAGAGTTTATAAAGATGCAGATCAGGTGTGAGGATGTAAACTTTATCCTTGATTCCATTTGATTTCTGTCTGGTAATGTTTCACACTGAGGATCAGACCAAAGTGAGAATCAGTGACTCCATCAAAGCAAACTGCACAAGTCTTCTCTGATATGCAGTTTAAGAGAGTTGAGGTTAAATGTGAATGCAGGTCTGAAAATAAAAATAAAAATTTTAAATGTAGTTGCTTAAAATAAACAGAATTTTATAAAATCTGATTATGATTATTTCAAGAAAACAGCTTCAGCACAACAAGAATATTTACAAACCAACAGAAGCAAATAATCTTTTATTCTAAGGAGTCAGTTAAATATAAAAAGAACAATGAAAGTGAGTTTCCATGTTAAATAAAACTAAACTAATGACTGAATGTGTCTAAAAAGCTGATTTTCAGTCAAACACAACAACAACAGAATCACTGAATTTGATTTATTTCACTTCACAGACACATTTTGTGATTTTCAATAATCAAAGAAACCAGTTAAAGAATAACATTGAAGTTTCAAAATCAAATTTTAAACCTGATTATAAATCATCGGAAGATCCAGAAATCATTCAAACGTTAAGCGACGTCTGCTGCTGATTGCAGTTAAAAATAACAGAAGAAAGACGATTTTTAATCCAATCAATCTTAGTTACACTGATGAGACAGTTTCAGAACTTAGAAGTCATTTCTTTGAATTTGGAAAACTTTAAAGTAGACATGTTTCTATAAAATGTTATTTAACTGAAAAAAAGATGCTGACAGGATAATTTAGATCTTGTAGTTTTAAAGTTGACTCTTGCTGATGTGACACAAGTTTAATCATTAATCCTTCTTTGAAGAAGTGTCACAGTTTACTGTTCACACTCAACAACTTTGAAAAGCAAAGAAATCATCATTCAGATTTTAAAATTATCAAAATATTCACATGAACAACATCAGAAATAGTCTGAAAATATTAATTTAAAAGAAACAAGAATATAAAAAGCAAAAGTTTTTTTTACAGAAACTCGAGTGGCTCACAAGATTTTTTTTTTTTTTTTTTTTTTTCCTGTCCCATTTGGTTCTTTAGCCATCAGAATTGTTGTCTGAAGACCAACAAGGATACCCAATGGATTTACTTTGCCAAATGGATCATCGTGGCATTGCCGTATTGGTCCATTTGGTCGATCTTTGTTTTTATTATTTATTATATTTTATTTTCAGATGTTACAGACGGGACAGACATGAGTGAGGGATAGGAAAGGAAGAAAGAAAGAGGAAGGAAAGGAAAAACAGAAGGGGAGAGGGACAGTGAGACAGGGGGGGAGAAAAAAAAATCTCCTGGATCACCTGTTGAGAGAAAAATAGAAAACAAGCAAAAAAAACAAAGCAACATACTAAACACAACACCATCGCATTAATCTAGCTAAGTGTAAACAGCAGTAAATACTAAATATTCAATGTTGTTGTGCAGCACACAGGACAGATGTGCTTCGAAGTAGCGGCCAAGAAAGGTGTAATTTGGGTCTACGAGCAGTGAACACCCGTGTGCATACCTGTGTGGATCAGCGCGCTTGTATTCCAAAGGTTTCTCCATGTAACGATCTGCTAGGGAGTGTGGGGGGGCCACAGCCCCATCCTCCAGGGTGTGAAGCGGGTATGGAGGAGATCAAAACTCCAGACATCCAGAGGCCCCCAGAACACAAGAGACCAAGGAAGACCAACAGAGGGGCAGCCGCGCCACTGTTCCAGTAAGAGCTGAGGAGAGTCCCAGATGAGGGTTCACTCAGCAGCCGCGGAGCAGAAGCCAGGGGGAGTTGCAGTGACGCGCCCATGAGCTCCGCCGGCCCCCAGCTGTGCCTGAGTGACCGAGCCCCAGGCCGAGAGGCCGGGGGCACCCCACCTCCGAAGGGGCCCGAGCGAGCCCCAGGCCCCAGGCCCCGATAAGCGGCCGCCAAGGAGTGAGCCGGTGTGTACCTGGACACCCACCCCCAGACACAAAGAACCACCAACACACCGACACCTGAGGGAGTCCGCCACCGGCAGGGGAAGTGGTGGTGGGTGGAGATAGGCCTCCAAACCTTGGAGGGCCTGAGGTGTCCCCAGAGAGGTGGCGTCTGATACCCAACCTGACATATAGACACAGAAATACAGGCACACACATATACAAACATCCATTCCCACCCTCATGCTCTCATATGCACTCACTCCACACTCAACCAACGTGGAGACAGACATAAAGAGACGCTGTACACACGATCACACTCCCCAAGCGTACTCTACAAACCGGGTCTAGGTACCCTTGCCCCTGGAGGGGGGAACTGCACCCAGACCCAGGTGGTGTTACCCTTTTCCCTGCGGTGGGGAGAGGCAGACCACCCCGACTCCGTAGCAGCAGGGAGGCCCCACACCCCAGACCGCAGTCGGACGGCCAACTCCTCCTAGCCCCCCCGCTCCAGCAGGCCGCAGAGAACGGGGGTGGGAGAAGACTCCAAACCTCCCTCCACCCGCTCATTGTAGTGTTGATGCATGTGTGTTCTAAGGTGCAATTAAAACCCAGGAGGGCATGGAGCTACCTGCCAAGGAGCAGCAGGTAAGCGCATGGTCCCTCCTGATAGCCCTCAATGTCTAAGTGTATTTAAAATTGAGAGGTGGGCAACGACGCCAGGGGTCAGGTGTACACCCTGATGGTAATTTGGACTCCGTGATTGTTCCCACCCCCAAGATCCTAAATGTATGTGTAATGAGAGTGTGAATAATGTGAATGTCTAAGTTGTGGGATAAAATTGAGGCAGAGGCAGCCAGAAGGGGACAGAAGGGGGGGTAGCCTCCTCTGCACCCTGGTGACATACCCCTACTCCAAGGCCCTGCATGTGTGGGTGGTTGTGGTGGAGTGGGAAGAGGGAGGCAGCTGGAGATGGGGAGGGAAGGAAGGGAGGGGCAGGTAACCCCTCCCTGGGGCCAGCTCCCCGCTGACCCCAGTAGGCACTCCCATACTCCGCGACCCGCCAGGGAAAGGGGGCCCAGGCCCAACCAGACCGGGGCCCAGTGCAGCAGCGCCCCCCGGCCCCACAGAGCCTGGGACAGTCCACCCAACCCCACCACAGAGAAAACTG